CATTCTAAACGGTTTTGTAAAATGTGTCCAATCCCCAGGTGAGGGCTGGAGATCACTCAGAATTACAACTGCTTTCCAGATTGCAGGGATCAGTTCCCCTGGAGAAAATGGTGGGCTCTGTACCCTTATATGCTGCTGAGTGGCCCCCATATGACAGCCAATGTGACGTAGCAGTCAGGGCTTCAGAGCACTGGAGAGGCTCTGTGTGTGGGGGGTGGAAAGCTAAAGAGTGAGGGGGAAATAAAGGTAGGTTGATGATTGGCTGGGAAGGAGATAGGGTTGCCAACTGCCAACTCCAGGTGGGAAATTGCTGGAGATGTGAGGGATGGAGCCTGGAGAGGGTGAGGTTTCAGGAGGCGTGGGATCTCCGACATGTACAAAGCCATAGATTCCACCCTCCAAACCAACTATTCCCTTCCGGGGAACCATCGTTGCCAATCTCCAGGTGAGGGCTGGAGATCACTCAAAATTACAACTGTGCTTTAGGTAGCAGGGATCAGTTCCTCTGGAGAAAATGGTGGAGGTGGTATCATTATACCCTGCTGAGGTCGCCACAGCAAATTGACACTGAGTTTCCAAGGCTGGGGCACCCGCCAAGAGCCTCTTTCTAGAGGCCGTTGTATTTATTTCCACAACGGGCCTTTTCCCTAGGAGGCAATATTGCCATTTTGGCTCCCCCAGCTCTCGTTAGGGGCTCCTTAAAAGGTTACGGCCACTGCCACTGGCACGGAAGCGGCAATGGCCGCAGGGGAAGGGGTGGGTGGCGCGAAACCTTCCCCCACCTCCCTGAGCCCCAGGGTGGCGGCCTTGGACTCCTAGGGGCAAATTCCACCTCTTGTGTGTGATGTCCGAGCGGCAACACATGCGAGAGGCCATTTCGGCTCCCCCAGCTCTCGTTAGGGGTTCTTTAAAAAGTTATGGCCACTGCCGCCGGCGCAGAAGCGGCAACAGCCGCGGGGGGAGGGGGTGGCGTGAAATGTTCCCCTGCCTCCCTGAGCCTTGGGGTGGCAGCCTTGGACTCCGAGGGGTAAATTCCACCTCTCGCGTGTGATGTCACACACGAGACAGGCCATTTTGGCTCCCCCCAGCTCTTGTTAGGGGCTCTTTAAAAAGTTATGGCCACTGCCGCCAGCGCGGAAGTGGCAACGGCTGCGGGGGGAGGGGGTGGGTGACGCGAAACCTTCCCCCGCCTCCCTGAGCCTCGGGGTGGCGGCCTTGGATGCCTAGGGGCCTGTCATTCCAGTCCCAGAACACTCCTAACCCCCAGGGTGCTGTCATTCCACCCTGGGACCTGTCATTCCAGTCCCAGAACACTCCCGATATCCCCAGTGGCTGTCATTCCAATCTGGGGCCTGTCATTCCAGTCCCAGGATACATCTGCTACCCCCAGAGGCTGTCATTCCACTCTGGGGCCTGTCATTCCAGTCCTAGAACTCTCCTGCTGCCCCCAGGGGCTGTCATTCCACTGTGGCGCCCATCGTTTCAATCCCAGAACACTACTGCTACCCCCAGGGGCTGTCATTCCACTGTGGGGCCTGTCATTCCACTGTCAGAACACACCTCCTACTCCCAGGGGCTGTCATTCTACCCTGGGGCCTGTCATTCCAGTCCAAGAACACTCCTTGTACCCCCAGGGGCTGTCATTCCTCTGTGGGGCCTGTTATTCCACCCTCAGAACATATCTGGTACCCCCAGGGGCTGTCATTCCACCCTGGGGCCTGTCATTCCACCCTCAGAACACATCTGCTACCCCCAGGGGCTTTCATTCCACCCTGGGGCTTGTCATTCCAGTCCCAGAATACTCCTGATACCTTCAGGGGCTGTCATTCCAGTCCCAAAGCAGTGTATTTGGGACCAGAGACCTTTATGGAAAATCCATTCCACATTTTCTTTGCAACTCTTCTTGAGCTGTATTGTATTTCAATGGAGCCCATCCAAGTCAATTGGCATTCGGCTTCCATTATTTCCAATGGGCCTTCAAGTCTCTCCCATTGTTTCCAATGGGTAATCCTGTCCTTCCTTTTAGTACATCCCCTTTTCAGTAGGACGAAGCATTGTGGTCATTAGAGGAAGCGCTTGTGGGTTTTGACATACATCTAGGCTTAACTGCTCTGTCCTAGGCACGCGTATTCAAAGGGACTTACCCCCTTCACGCTTAGAACTGGAACTAAAAATTTAACTCACACTGGACAGGAATCTATCCCCATTTATTGCAGCTCTCACTTAAGTAGCATGTTGATTCTCAAGTGGAACAGGAACAACACGGAAGGTACAAGTGAAGTCTACAACTCTAATGTCAGTACCTCTGAGGTCACTGAAATGAATGCTTTGTTGTTGTTGTTCAGTCGCACAGTTGAGTCTGACTCTTCGCGACTCCCTGTCGGGAATGAACGATGATAAGACACTGTAGATGGCAGCAGCCCCTTGTTCAAATATTTGAGCATTGTGTTAGGTAGATAGATTTCTCCCGAGGGGAGGATTGAAACCCCCCCCCTTCCCTCAAACACTACTCAAGCAATAGATGGGATAGGTAAAATAATCCAGAGTCAGTAAGGGGTGAACAGTGAAGTCTGGCTAAAATTGCTTCTCAACACTCAACATCGGTCTCCTTCTTTGGAGGATTTAAACAGGCTAGATCAGGGGTGAGACCTTGTCGGGCTGGGCCGTGTGTGTCATAAAATGTAATGCCAGGTAACAAATATATAAACTTTATAAAGGACACAAACACAAAGGGTGTTTTTTTAACTTAAAATAAAAACATGCTTAAAACAGCACTCTTGCAATATTTTGTTTATTTAATAGTGTCTGATAACTGACACCTCTTGCTCTGAATTGTTGCATCAACATGTCTTTGCTGTTGCAATCTTGAGTATGCTGTTCAGGTGTGTATCTGTAAGCTTCAAACCTATGATGAAGCAGAAGCAGCAGAACTGGAAGAAGCGGCAGAAGACAGCCAGTTCCACTGTTGGCCTGATAGAAGCCCTTCCCCCCCCCCCTCAGACCAAGGGACCCATCCTACAGAGCCCACAAATGGACCAGATTCCCAGCAGACCCAGCCAGTCCCGTTGCCAGAAATTTTCAGTTGGTGGGGCATCGGGAAATTTTGTGGGGCAGTAGGGGAGAGGGAGAAGCCGCATGCTTTCCCTGATCTCCAAGCAGCAATTTTGCCACTTGGAGATCAGGTGTGGGCAGCACCCACTAGAAAAACAGCATTTAAAGGGAACCCTTTTCCTAGCAGGGGCTTCCCACACTTGAACTCCAAGCATTGAGATCACGGCTTGGAGTTCAGGGAAGGTGTGCGGCCAGCAGCTGCCCCTCTCCCCCAGTTCCTGCAAGATTTAAACGGCCCACTGATCAGCTGGAGGGCCCTTTAAATCTTGGGAGGAGGAGAGGGGCAGCTGCAAGATTTAGAGGGCCCTCCAGCTGATCAGTGGGCCACATGCTCCAGCCAGTTGGCTGGAGGGCCCTTTTAATGTCACAAGAGAGGAGGGAGGGGGGAGAGGGGCAGCAGCTGTTGAGGGGTGTGCCTCACATTTGAGGGGGCAGAGCCCCCAAATGCCCCGCCATAGCTATTGGCCTGGACCCAGCTATGAACAGCTCGAGACACTTTTTTTTTGGGGGGGGAGGGGGAGATAATATCAAGTGGCAGTGGAAGGCATCAAGTTGACTACCTGAAGAGGTGGAAACAAGACATAAATGCACCCAAAGACACAGGGTGTGGTGATGGGGGGGGGGGTTGCCCTCTGGGTGACACTGGTTAATTGAGCATTCTGCCCTCTCAAGTGCTAGACAACAAGAGTTTTACTTTGTTCTGACGTTAATGTCCAGCCAAAGCTCATATTCTTCCACTTGAACATAAGACACTAAATTATACTTACCATCTTCTTCCTAAATAGAGGATCAAGATTCCATGGTTGTTTCCAAGCCTGCCTCCCAGAGGACAGCACTGTTAAGCTGAATGTACTATTACTGCTTTCTTTGTTGAATAGCTCTGTAGCACAAGAGATCCCTCTTGTGTGTGCCAATACTGTAATTCTGCAGTAGTCATGGGTAAAGCACTCACTTGCCCAGCCTAACTTCTGACATAAGAATGAACCCACATTTACATAATTAAAGTGGAATGCCTTGAATGGACTTTGAGCATGCGACCCATGGAGGATTAATTCCCTCAAGCTTTTTACAAAGCTAATGAACAAAATAATCTCCCCTGGAAACACTGTGCTAATTCTTCAGCCATTAGGGCTTAGGCCTCACTAATACCTAGTGACGGAACTGCTAAGGCTGAAGACCAAATCAAGCAATTTTTTTTTGTCATGGTACTTTTGTGGTAGGCAACAGGCATGCCCCACACAGAACTCCAAATAGATTAGCATGCTAAACAATGGTTCTTGTTCAAGTTCCAGCATAGTGTCAGAACTCAAGCCAGGCATTTTCACTGACAGTCAAGCTCCTTCACCTAGGCCACTCCTGCAAGAGGAGAATGGCTCAAAAATCTCTACCCAACTTCTGCTGATTATGAACAAGCAGCAATTTCTTTCTAGCTCTTGGTTAAAAACTCTGTTCACTCAAGGAGTATACAAACCTGAAGTATATAAGAGGACAGAATCTGATAAGTACCCAGAACTGGTTGTTGTTGCAAGTGTGATTATTACCCTTAATACCGTATATATAAACTTCAGTTCTACGAAGCTGCTATGGTATTTGTCCTTTTTCTAGTCCTGCTGCACACTATCCCTCGGAAGTCATTACTAACAAAGCTCAAATTGAGGCTAGAAACTTTTGACACTAACTCTAGGGCCTCCCCCCACACACACACACAGCACAGAGAGTACAACTTTAAGGGTTAGTAAATGTTCTAGCTACTATAGGCACTAACATCTGAGGTTTCACAAGATGATACTCAAAACCAAGCAGGAGGCCTAGAAACTTTCAAAAGTTTGCACAAGCAGTCATAACAGACCTTGAAGAGTCAAGTTACATACATGTCAACATGACCCTGAAAATGTAAGTTTATTGGATAAAGCTGGAGAGCAGTAAACCAACAAAATGCAATCCACCCAAATAAAAAAATTCACATATTTACAAAGTTTGGTAAATGTATAAGTTGTTAACATGCAGAGATTAATGCACAGGTTAAAAACTTGGTAGTGGTTTCTGAATGTCAAATGCTGAAAGCAGTGACGTATACACTGAATACCCTTTTCCCCCCAAACACACATTTAAGTTCAGCAATAGGCCAATTACCTAGACAGTAATTTGATTCCCACAGGAAAGGTTGACACATTCTAGTTCAATTTTCTTATCTTAGGCACAAGCAGATGCTCTAGCAAGTACAGAAGTCCACACTGAACTAATACAGTAGCAAGTTATTAACCCTTCTCTACAGCACCAACAAGATTACAGGATTTATCAAAGCACACTGCAATTAAAAATGCAAGCTTGGTTTGCAAGTGGAGGCAGCACAGTGTTTATGCAACACTGCAGTAATTGGTACGGGACAGTAAGGCCATGGCAATATAAATCCCAAAGTGTGTGGTGTTAGCTTGGTCCAATACCAGTGACAAAGCTGCTGTGACTTGGTAGAACTCACACACAGCACTTGTGATGTTTGCTGCCACACAGTCTAGGATAGAATGGCAGTTGCTTCATTATCCCAGCTTGCATACCTCTCAGCATCTGACAAGACCGTGACAGCTTTGTACAGACATCCCACATAGTATTCTAATGTGGGATCCGTTGACTTCCAGCAAAAAGCCCTTAGCGGTAACACAGGGATACTTGTACAAGGTTAGAGATGTTTCACAACAAATGAAGGGTGGCACAGGGGAATCACATTGCACTTGGTACAGATGTACTGCCTGGGCCAATATGAAAGGCCTTCTCCTTCAAACTCACCCTCTGAACACAGCATACAGTATGAACATACCCCCAGGTATATCGAAGATGTATTAAACAATGATTGTGAAAGTGTAGCATTCGAGTCAAGTACATGCAAGTGCTGTTTGAAAAAAACCAAACACCACACAGTGAAAGGCAACACAAGCAGGTATCCCATATATTTATATGCACACAGTGGGGTACATTAACATTACTGTATGAACAAAACCAGCCTTAAGAACCGTCCCTTTAAATATTGACACGGCCAAGAAGGTAAAGCTACAAGAGAACTGTTACAGTTTTCAGTTCGTACATCTCTATACGGTTGAAGCTAACCAAGAAACAGATCAGTTCATTGATTCTCTTGAGCTCCAAGATGCCATTTAGCATTTCACAGCCTGTGGACTTTACACATGATTACACATCAAAAGAGAAGGCAGATCTAGAGTTGTCACAAACAGCCTAGGTGTTTCCTAGCACCAAGTGCAACTGTGCACAGCTATTCCATGAACGGAGGAAAGGACAAGCCAGACAGTGATACAGAATTTCTTGTGCTGGGAATCAGTGCGACACCAACCACCACCAGTTAGTGTCATGCAGCTGTAGAGTCTTTGCAAAACATTCTGAGAACAAAGTGGGATTGTTAATCTAGCCATAGGTTCTTTAAATTTGTTTTACCTACTTTGATGTCCAACTTTTGAAAGCTTTCATATTAAGTACTCTGTTCCATATTTCCCCTTCATTATATATGGGCTAAGAAATTTTATTAGCAACGAACAGCAGATACAAAACACGAGTGTGACTTTGCTAATTCATTGGGATGAGACTACTATACAATTTGAAAGAGCATAAGTTATTAAGTGATTTAATATCTAGTGCCTGGCACTCTCCATTGCAAACCATTTTACAATACATTTCACATGCATCTGAGAGACAAGTTAATACCCCATTTAAACGGTGTTTGAAAAGCTTTAAGCACAGGAAGTGGTGCTAGAACCCTCATGCTGCCCTTGGTCAGCATCTTCAATGAGCCACTAAATACAAGAATTAAATAAGTTTGCTGAAAATCAAATATAAAAAAACCCTAGCTCAGGACAACCAGAGCAGAAATACACTTTCAATGGTAGCTTTTTTTCTCTCCTTTTTGTTTTTTAAAAAAAGCGCCCACTGCCACTGTTTAGATGAACTTAAAAACGTCTGCACAACTCATGACAACTCTAGGCAATTCTTTATGACAGAAGTAGGAATATAAGTCTTCAGCAGTGCACATGAGGCATGAACTGTGAAAAAAGGCAATTCCTTCGATACAGGAGGGCTATCCTGGGTAACGTTTCATCATGGAGGGAGTAGACAATTGAGATTATGGCCAACTGGGGAGTTATCAGCAAGATTTCAGCTTCTTCTAGACTTTGAGTGCTGAATAAGCCACTGAAGTGTGATATCTAGGAAAGAGAGAAACATAGGTTAACTTAAGCCAACTGACCAATTTATAGCGGGTGAAAATCCAAGTTTTAAAAGAACTGATTTATGCTTTTTTGGTTTAAAAAACAGGAACTACGCAACTTAAGTAAGTGTCCTCCCCCACATTCTACCATATCTTGATATATTTCACTTGTACACAAAACTTACACGACATGACTTGTGTTCCTAATGGCTGATTCACCATGATGGAAATTCGTTTCAAAGACCTTCCAAGCCCCATACAGCTTGGCAAGCAGGAGTGTAATATTATTCTCTGTGCTACATGATCAGGGCAGCAGGTTAATCTGGTACTGAACCATTTTAGCTCACTCAGTATTTCAGGGTTCTTTACATATATGAACTACTACTTTCAGCCTTATAATGGGGTAAAGTAAATAAAATTACTGGCACATTCATATAGGTAACAAGAACATTTAAGTGGGCTAGATAAATGTGGCAGAGAGGACTGAGGGTGCACTGGTACCTCAACCCTAAAGGGACTTGTTTTGCACATGGAAATTCATTCTACACAAGAAAATCACAAAGAACATACAGAGCAGAAACCATAAATTCACACTATGTTATAATTCATATTAGCAAGTGTTTACTAAATGCGTACATCCTTGGCAACAGTGACCTACGGATCCAGTTTCTGCTTCCAGTAACTACTACTATTTCAGGATGTTAATTACCTATATTGTCCTTTTCTTTGCAAGAAATGGAGTAGCAGCAAATTTCTCTGTCTTGAATAGCAGCCAGGTTCCTGGAAGAGAAGTAGCCAATAAACAAGTTGACAACAGCCTTTTGTAGCATTTCGGGTATAGTTTGACTAGCAATACCTTGAAATAATACTAATACATATTAAAGGCAATCTACTAGAACACTCATTCTTCCCAGAAAACACATATCAAACTAGTTTATTTATTCATTCATTAGATTTGTACCCCGCCCTCCCCAACAGGCTCAGGGCGGCTACAACAGAGGCAATTGCCATAACAACAGTTAAAACAACATAAAAGCAATCATTAAACAGTATAAAACAATCATTAAATAAAGTGTGGTGCTCTTGATGTTAGTCTTCTAATCCAAGATGAGTTCCATTCATCAACCTAACCTGACAACATACATTCTTCGGTTGACTAGGCGTCTGCCCAGGGCCAGCTCACCTCCAGATCTAATCCACCGTCGAAGATGGCAACTCGGTGGTGGTACAGTGACGGCGGCGGCTCCTATGCAAAGGCCTGGCGGAAGAGCTTCGTCTTGCAGGCCCTGTGGAACTGCGCCAGGTCCCGCAGGGCCCAAACCTGCTCTGGGAGCTCATTCCACCAGACAGGAGCCGCCACCGAGAAAGCCCTGGCCCTCGTTGCAGCCAGCTTGATGTCCTTGGGGCCGGGAACCACCAGTAGGTGCTGCGACCCCGACCGTAGCGCTCTTGGGGGAACATATGGAGAAAGGCGGTCCCTTAGGTACGCTGGACCCTGGCCATCAAGGGCTTTATAGGTAAGAACCAGCACTTTGAAGCGAATCCGGTATGCTATAGACAGCCAGTGCAGCACCTTCAGCGCAGGCTGGACATGGTCCCGTCTAGTGAGACCCATCAACAGCCTGGCCGCCGCATTCTGCACCAGCTGCAGCTTCCGAATTTGCGACAAAGGCAGCCCCATGTAGAGAGCGTTGCAGTAGTCCAACCTTGAGGTGACCGTCGCATGGATCACAGTGGCCAAGTCATCACGGTCAAGGAAAGGAACCAACTGCCGTGCCAGCCAAAGATGGTAAAAGGCTTACTTGGCAGTGGCTGCCACCTGGGCCTCCATCAATAAGGTGGAGTTCAGGAGCACTCCCAAACTCCTAATCCTCGACACCGGCACGAGCTGTGCCCCATTGAAGGCTGGGAGAGGGAGCCCCAACCCCGAACCGACCCAACTTAGGCCCAGGACCTCCGTCTTCGCCGGGTTTAACTTCAGTCGACTCAGTCTGAGCCAACCAGTAACAGCTTGAAGTGCCCAATGAAGGTCATCTGGGTCGGAGTTCGACTGGCCGCCTAACATCAGATAGAGCTGGGTGTCATCCGCATATTGATGACACCCAAGCCCAAACCTCCGGGCAATCTGGGCAAGGGGGCTCATACAGATGTTAAATAACATCGGGAACAGCATCGCCCCCTGAGGCACCCCACACTCAAGAGGATGCCTCTGAGACTGCTGTTCCCCTATCGCCACCCTTTGTCCCCGACCTTGCAGGAACGAGGCAAACCATTGAAGGGCGAGCCCCTGAATCCCCACGTCAGCAAGGCGCTGGGCCAGCAGCTGATGGTCGACCGTATCAAAAGCGGCAGACAGATCTAACAACAGCAATGCCGCCACACCGCCTCGATCCAGATGCCTACGGAGGTCGTCAGTCAGGGCGACCAAAGCCGTCTCCGTCCCATGACCCAGGCGAAAACCGGACTGTAGTGAAACTCAGCAGCTAAGGAGCCACATGTGACTCTTCTGAGCACTGTTAACCGATGTAGCACCTGACCGACATCCTGGGGAAAGGAAATAAGGATATCACCCAGTAAGGCTTGTGGTTGGCACCTGGTCCCCACCTTAAGCTGCTGCCACAGTGACAGGATGAGACCCCCCCTTCCTCTCCAACAACCCCCCCCCCACTCTGCAGCCTTTGCAATCATCCCAGCACCTTTGGGCACCTTGACCATCTCATTCTCTCTCCTGAGCGGCCATGCCTCATGCCGAGGAGAGAGCAAGAAGGCAGAGATGGAAGCCCTTCACCTCACTCCAGATACACAAGGGCTGACCAAGGCTGAACAGTGGTGAGGCGAGGCATGCACAGACGCACTCCGGTAATTAAGAGATTATAGTTACATATTTAATATGAATCTCTTATTATTGTGTATGTTTGGTAGGGTACTGCACAGGGCATACAACAGTCATATGGCTCTCTTGGTTGACAGTAAGCCCTGGAGTGAGTACTACTGTTCTACAACACATCTGTTACCATATCAGTTTTTATAATTGGAAAGGAACAGTATGGAGCATCTTCAGGGGTCATTTCGTAGAAAAAGAGGTGCAGGAGCTCATTAGCATAACTCATTAGCATAATTTATTTGCATATGCCACACCCCCTGACATCACCGGAAGGCAACACCCACCGCTCAGACTTCACTGGACTGTTTTTGATTGCTGGCTATGGGGGGGGGGACGTGCAGATCTGTCCTCACAGAGGAGAGAGAGCTTGTACCTAAATAAAACTTGGTCTTAAAGGTGCCACTGGACTGTTTTGGGCCGGGGG